GCCGCCCTCAGGGGTAGCTGTCCAGCGTCCCTCTCGTTTCTTCAGTGCGACAAAGAGCAAAACCAAGGTGCGATCTCATAAATACGAGGCAGGTAGGTCTTGCTAAGTTTCTAGGTGCCCTTTGTAAGCGGAGTCTCAACTTCACCAGTAGCACAATGCAAGGAAGTTTTCTCAGTTAACTGCCACGAAATATCCGTGCTAATGCCTCTTCCGAGGGAAGTGGCAGAGCTTTGGTTCCCAGAGCCTACAGCCCTGCATAAGATCCTGAAACGCTGCCATGGGTGGGAGCCGTGACCTTCCCGTCACAGTGCGCGGGCCAGAGCGCCACCCGAGTGTTTCCTACCGCCGGCCACACAGAACGGACACGACAAAAACCCGCCAGGCTGGGTGTCACGTGCGGCTGGGCGGGTCCTTCCGCTGAGAGCCCTGGACCTCAATGGGAGCTCTGTTTGTGGAGGCGAGAGTGGCCGGGCGGAGGGCTTAAGACTGGGGCGATTATGTCCGCTCAGGGAGGAATTCGCATCTCAGAATGGTGCTATTGTTCGCTGGTGCTCAGTTCACCCAAGTGAGTTTAATAGTGTCCAACGCCCTATTAATTTCCTTCAGTGACTGTATAAAACCAGAGGGGGGCGGGGAAGAAGCCACCAGGCATGAACTTGAAAGCCCCACCACCACGCATGCTCAGCAGCGGGGTTCACGGGATATGCAAGGCACACCCTGCTCCCCGCTAGTGGACCTTAAGTGAGCGTGTTTGGAACAGGGTGCCCTTCACTAGACACTTATCCCCAGGGCCCACCCTGCCATATAGTTCCCGCTACTCTTGTCTCTTTTCACCTCTGAACCATTAAAATAAAGTACTGCCTTTTGGATGCTGGGTCAGTGGTGTGGTTTCAAAGAAGAGCCACAGAAGGTTCCGTTCACATAAATCTGCATCAGATAAAGCCTGGGAGGACGAAGACGATGCTGTTCATGCTGGTTATCGCATGGGTTAGGGGAATTGTCTCTTTTTGCTTCTTGACCCTCATTTCCTATAATGATCATATAATAGCTACATGCCATTTAAGAATTCTAAGCAAAAAAGGTCTATGTATAAATTTTAGTATTTTTACCCCACAATCAGAGAGACACATGCTCTTGTAGCAGCCGAGTGGCTCTCGCAAAGCCACGCCCCTGAAGGCTCAGGTGAACGAGCCTTCACTTCACCAGAGTCACCCAGAAGGCCCAGCTTTATCCTTCCCTTTGACTTGACCTCTCTTAACCCAACATGACCTAGTTTGCTTTCTGGAGTTCTTCTTGTCTGGGGGACCTGAACTGAGATGTAGGACAGTTTTTGAGCTCCTGAGTAACTGTAGGTACACTATTTCCTAGTGAGTACAAGACTTCGTCACTGCTCAAGAACAGCAGCATCTCTCAGCTCTCCCGTGTAGCTCCAGCTCTGGCATGCTGGGGACAGCCCGTTGCTGGCCAACAGCTCGAAGTGACTCGGAGTGCTGAGGAAGCCAGAAGGCAAGCTCGCTGCTGTGCGACAGAGGACACTATAGGGCGGGCAGACGCCCTTGTATACAGAACCCCTGTCCAGGGGCAGGCCCTCTGCACGCCTGGCTCCCGAATGGAACGCTCAGGAGAGGATTTGTAGTTTCAGGTGGACTTCCGTCGGGGAAACAGCAGTATGGCAGAGAGCCCACGTCCCCATGGTCACGGTCACGGCCAGCCAGGGTGAGGAGAACCACGCACCCACCGAGCTCACACGGCCTGCGCTCTCTACGAGCCGCTCCACTGCCAGCTGCCGGGGAGCCCGCCTGGACGAGCGCCGCTGCCACGCGGTTTCCATGGCGAGCCACATCCCGCACGCATCCCTTGGAGGTTGGTGAAAAGCCCTCCGGTGACTCTGTGTCGCTGGCACACACCTCACCGGGAAGAGCCGCCCTCTCCTGTGAGCTGCCCTGCACAGAGGGAGCCCCACTGCTACGGCCCTGGGCGTCACACCTCTCCCAGCCAGGCGAGGCCACGGAACGCTCCTGAGCACCGAGTGTCACACACAGCAAAAGGCCTTCGGGAAGGGTCGGAGGGTGCCCTGAGCGTCTCCTTCCAAAGACCGAGACAAGACCAAAGGGAAAATAGAAAAAGGGAAAGAAAAAGCTACCTGCACAAACCTGTGCCAGCCTGTCTACCCAGGGTCTCGCACTGAAGCCAATGGTGCTCCTGCAACTTGTGCTGTGTTTGCAAATGAAGCGGCTGCCGCCCGGTGTGAGTGGACGCGATCTCCCCTCCTGCACCACGGGCTTCGGCCACCTGACCTCGGGGACTGGGGCTGCTGCCTCCGCCTTCGGTCCTCAGGGCTCTGCACAGAGACCCATGGGCTCAGCAGCAGATGCTACCCGAGCCGACTTTATTCTGAAATCGCACAGGCCCACGGGGATGGGCTAAATACAGGAGAAAACAGGCACAGTTCCCGCTGCAGGGAGAGAGCAGGGAGCAGGGCTGGGGCTCAGCCTCCTCTGCCTCCTTCTGGCCGCCCCGCCCGCCCCACCCATCGCTGGCACCACCGAGTCCGAGAACTCTGATGACAGAGCGACCTCAGGGATCGCTGCCCTCACGCCCTCACTGGGCAGGCCTCGCTGAAAGTCTAGAATGCAGCTGCCTGACTCGTGCCCGGATCCAGAGCGAGCCGGTGCCCTGGACGGTCACACCACACCCGCAGCCGAGCACAGTTGCCCGCAGGGTGTCTGCTCTCAGGCTTCTCTTCAAGTTCTTTGTTACTTCACATTCAAATCTCACACATTTGACGACATCATTTCCTCGCCCTGGAAAATCCTAAGTAGCAAATCAGAAAACATGGAATGAATAAACCTCACAGACAATTCTTTAAAACTACCAGGAAGAGAACTAAGAGGATCGATCTAGCAACCAAGCTAAAGTCATCTCACGGGGCAGACCCTGAGGACAGCGTGGATGAATGGCGCAGAGCCTGGGGGCAGTGCATGCCCCGTTTTTCATGCCATGGGCACCCGAGCGCACACGTGACGCACGAAGGTCCGCAAGGGAGCAGGAAGGAGATGCCGGCACCGGGTGTTTGTAGAGAGAGGCATGCACATGCACAGGCATGTGTGTGTTTTAAGTTCTGATATTTTAAAGGGTAAATCACAAGCTACAAAGCTCCGCTGGCCATAATGACTCACTGCCTGTAATTTCAGGGCATAGTAACTCTAAGAGACGGTTTCACTGCCAGCACTGAGAGCCATGGCCGCCTCAGTTAAAACAGACAAACAAATAAACAAACAAACAGCAAAACCTTGACTGGGAGGTCGATCTCTCTCCATGGTCTCCCTTTTCCAAAAATAACCGATTTCCACCTGGAGACCATCCGGGAGAAGCCTTTTCTAACGTGTGGCCCCCCGAGCCCCAGCCCCGTGGGCCACGAGTTACTGCCCGGCTGAGAGAAGGGCCGCGGTCCTTGGAGCACACCCGCTGCAGCCGGGACCGCGCGGTCGCACTGACGACGCGCCAGAAGCCAGGGTGGGCGGGGGGCGCAGGGCGCGCACAGCTGGGGAACCCGGACCTGTTGACAAAATTGCTTCAGGCCCATCCTGTCACCAGTCCGAGAAGAGAACACCAACTCGAACCACGAGGCACGTGCCGGCTGACTCAGCGGCGTCGCCCGCGCAGCAGCACCGTCTCCCACGGCTGTATGTGATCTCGTGCTATATGGCGATTTCGGGGGCTGGTTCAATCTGGGTTGATGCAAAAATGGAGGGAAAACTACTAACTTCATGATGGCATCTATCTGGAAAACAAATGCTTTTAAGCCTGCAGTCCACGGGGAAAAGCACAAAAATGGCCCCAGGGACGGAGGTGCATGGCATGGGCTCCTGAGGTCCGAGTGGCCCCCTAGCCCACCCCCCAAAATGGAACACAAGCCTTGGGAAGGCGGAAACCAATACTAAAGACACTCCAAGTACAGGCAGCTTGCAAGGATCCACGCTCGTGCCCGGGGAGTTTGCTGGTGAAGGCACAGGACGGGGAGACGCCCCGAGATGCCGGGGCTCACATCAGCCACCTCAGGTGCTCCGTGGCTGACACCTGGGAAGGGGGGGACTGAGAACAGAAGAACACAGCCGTGGAAAGCACACTCCTATGAGGAAGGGGCAAAGGAAGCAAGGTGCACCCCGAAAGGCAACGGAAGCTGCCCTGAGCGCTCTCGTCTCACAGCGGCACGGCCGTGTGGGGGGACCTCAGTCTCCATAGGTCTCTCGAACAGCAGGTTCCCATGACCCGAGATGCCTCAGGACACTTATTGAAAGGACTTAAACTATATTGTGAAGCTGTAATTAGACATCTTCTGAGAAATGCATCTGTGAAGCCTGAAAATATACAACTAAATGTAATTTCTTTTACAAATGATTAAAAAATTTCTCAAATCACACCAAAGACTTATTTGTGTCTTACCCTGTAAGCTCATGTGTAGCACTAGAAGAAAACTAAATTTGTCTATCATGTTAATTACACATTCTTTCAACAAAGATTTAACACTCTAATTAGTCCAATACACACAACAAAGCAGGAGGAGCCGCGAAGACATACAATTGAAAAGATGGCACAAAGGTGAAGGGAAAAGCCCAGGAAAGACTAGAGGGAAGAGGCCCACAGAATTACCCACTGTAGATAGTACAGGAGACCATTCATAGGAATTAGGGAGGAACCGAGAGAACCGGAGTAAACCTACGTCACGTCTGACACTGGGTGAGGCTCACACACCGGCCGAGAGGAAGACGGGAAGAAGGCATTTCCGCATTGGGCATTACAAGCCAGCACAGGCAGGGACCTGGAGCTGGGGGTCTCTAAAGAAGGAATGAGTCTCAAGTGACAGAGGGGCCACAGCGGAGAACCAGCCCTGAGGGCGGTGACCTGAGGAGGAAGGCGCTGCGTCACCAAGCAGCACTTACAAGGGGCCCTAAAGAATTCCCGCTGGGACGCAGGCACGCAGGCAGGGCCCCCCTTACCTTTCCCGTAGAAGAACTTGCGGTAATAGTAGGCCCCCAGGTCGATGTGCTCGATGATGTAGCGCTTCACCTTCTCCCTGTGGATGGGCTGGTTCTCCCGGGGCACCTCCAGGACCGACACGCCGGCGTTCGTGCAGTGGGAGCTGAGGGACGACTCAAAGGAGCAGCTTTCGCCGGAGCCGAAGGACGATGAGTTGGCCCTGGACAGCGCGATCCTCCTGTCCCCTTCCCCTCCTATCTCGTTTCTGAAGTAAGGGCAACTAAGGACCAGGTCGTTGCTTTTCCCGTCCCCCTCATCAGCATCCAGGTTCTCTTTGGAGTTGAGGTCCTCCTTGCTCCCCAGGGGAGACTCGCAGGTGCCCGTCTGGCCCGTGGGCATCTGCGTCTGGGACGCGGCAGAGGCCCCGGTGGTCATGTTTTTCCTCTTCCCCACGTTAGCTCTCGTGGCCATGGCTTCATTGATATTAAACAAAATGCTCTGGACATCATAATGTGCAAAACACCGCTGACAGTTCCAAGGGCGAATGCCCCGCTCAAGACGGCCATCTTCCAGGTCCGCCGTGAACCTGAAAGTCTCGTGTTCGCTTTTGACAGTTCGCAGCTTGCGGAAGAGGGACGTTTCCACCGACTCCGACTTAAACCGCCGTTTGAAAGGCTTGTCCCTGTCTCTCCCCAGGAGGAGGGCGCTGTCCACGTAGTCTAATCCTGAGATGCGGACAAATTCCCCTCGAGAAATCTGTGCTGCCGCGTGAAGGCTGGGCGAGATGGCGGGGTCGCAGGAGAAAAACTCCGGGAACCCAAAAGGGGCCATCACCTTGTGGTCATAATTCTCCACTCTGTACCCTCTGAGCATCGCGAAGAAGTTCTCGCCAGACAGGCCCTGCCGGTCGATGGAGGACGTGCTCCCGTACTCGCGGTGCAGGGCGGCCCCGGTGTTGGGGTTCACGGCATTTTGGTCTAAGACGTCTTCGGTGTCGATGTCGCTGATGGTGACGTCACTATTGCTTCTCTGCCTTATGGGCTGCAGTCCTCTTTGAGGCGAGTGAACAAAGATGTCTCCAAGCGTGTACTTTGCCTCCACAAAGTCGAGGTCGAGCTGCTCCTCTGGCTGACCATCGCTCTGGTCATTTTGTCCATTGTGCATAATGGAGGTGACACTGTCGTAACTAGTCTGAGACCGGCTTTCCCACAACCCCTTGCAGGCCAGCTCCTTGGAACAGTCCTTTTTAGGAGGCCACTCAGACACCCTGGCTCTCACGCCCATCTTGGGCACAGCGGGGGTCCCATTAGCTGGACCACCACTCTCACTGGAGTTTGAGGCATTTAAAGAAGTGGCGGGTCCCATGCCGCCATTAATGGCTTTAAATTTTCGGGCAAAATAATCATCGGACTGCATGATTCTGGGGGGGTCCTTGAACTTTGAAGAGGCCCTGCTGAGCTTGTGTTTGTCCTCTTGCGACTGCCTCGGGTCGCTCATGTCTACCAAGGTTGGGAGCTCCGCGTCTCAGCAGGAAGTGATGTAAACCCAGTTACATTGTATTTACAACACAATAGTAAGTGAAGATAGAAAGGCTTCTTCTGTACTTGTATTTTCTCTCGTTAACCAAAACCAAACAACATCCTCAGAGTACGGTTCCTCGGAAACCAACTTACGTCTTGGCTGCAGTAATTTTGTACACCTCCGTCCTTTTCAAAAGGATTCCTTAAGACAGCTGGCCAGGGGCACTTCCTTCACCTGAATTAAGAAACAGAATATTGCCATTAACAAGTGTCACAGCTCAAGTTCAGCACATTCTGCGTCTCATTTCAGACCTGTCCTTCCCCCCTCCTCCCGCCACTTCTGGTTCCCCCAATGTCACGAAGTTTCGGGGCTCGGCACTGCTGCCCCTTCTGCAGGAGCGCTCTCCTCGCTGCTCTACTTGGCTGGGTGGAATTCCCCACACACAGTCCAGCCCCCGCCTCACCGCCGCCCCCGAGCCCTGCCCAGAACACATGGCGGCCACCTCAGCCTGCTTCTGAGCGGTGAGCTTCCTCTGTGTCCCCCCGCGCCTTGTCGGCACCCTCTCTAAATTTCTGGTTTATCCGGCAGCCTCCTCCACTGCCACCTTCAAGCTCCACTGGGCCGGGAACTGTGCCTTTCATCTCTGTACCACATTATCTGCTAATGTGGCCTGGCTTAAGGAGGCAGCCAAGCAACGTTTCAATAAGGTTAAGAGTGACGCAATGGGCGTGCAATGGCTGGAGTATTCCCAAGTTTTCCTTTTAAGTAGTTAAACTCAAAATGTCCATCAGCAAAATGGTCAATACCAGGTGTTAGCAAATGAGTTTTCAGAATGCTCTCCTGTAATAAACTCACAGAGATCCCCATAAAGTGAGCAGGGGCCCTCAAGGGTTTGGGGTCTCAACGAGCACAACTGTGTAGCTCATTGTGCTTCTCCCGACTTGACACATGCGCAGGGTCAGATGAAGGCACAGAGTTTAAACACCACCATTTACCTCTGAGGTTGGTAGAAACCAGACCTCACCACTTCTTCTACTTGATTACAAATAATTCTTTCAATTTATTCTCTACTTAATGCGACAAAAATATTTTCCATTATATATTTTCCCAACTCACAGCGGCCTGGAAATCTTACTTGTTGGCATAAGAATGAAAGAACAACTCTACTTCTTCTGAAAATAATGATGAAGGGATGATATGGCTGATCTCCCTGAGTTTTCAGCAAAGCATAAAAAATAACTGCAAGTCTGTCAGAAAATGTTAACATTCCAACCAGCTCAACAGCCTCAGTACGCTCTCCAGGGGACTCTTAAAGGCTTTGAGGAACCCGAGAGATAGTCTCTTAGAAGAGCAGGTAGTTTCTTCTGATGGCAGTTTGCTTCCCCCCCATTGGAAGCACATCAGTCTGGGCATGACGACATGTCACCTGTTCCCAGGGCAGCCTCCTAATTGAGGAAACGTGACGCTATTTTAGCCCACGGCAAACATAGAGGGGACAGTGGTCTGATGCACCTGTGCACAGAACAGACCGGAGCCGGCCCCTGGCTCCCGGAAACGGAAGAGACGGCTGCATCGCACCTTGTTCACTGAGAACGACCGGACCGAGAAGGATCACAGGTGGTTCTGAATCATAGTTATTTCCGATACAATTTAGGTCGTTACCAAATCATTTCCTGTAAACTGAAAAAGTGACAACTGAGACGTGAATACAACTCCTTGCCTAGCGTCTCTCTGCTGAAACAGTGTTCAGCGAAGTTCTCCGGGTAGCTGCCGCTTACAGAACACTCAACAAAATCTGGGAGCTGAAGAATGACTCCTGACGGTTAGCAGACAGCTATGTGCATTCTCAGTGGGCGTTAATACGATGCTCATTTTCAGTTGCATACTATTAATTTGGAAGTATCCTGTTACATGAAGACGACCCATCCCTGTCCCAACACCCAGTTCCAAACTACTGAACTGTGTATTTTCTAGAAATATAATCACAAACTATGCACTTGAAGAATTTAGAAAGGAACAACAACATGTACCAAAAGAAACGAGGAGAGAAGGAAATGAATAAAGAGGAAAGCTGAAACCAATGGAATGGGGAGGTTCCGGCGGGGGAGAAAAGTAGAAAGGACGGGCAAATCCAAAAGGTAGTTTTTTTAAAAAAAGGGTAAAATAAATACTCCTTTCCAGGCCTGAAAAAGGAAAAGAAAGAATAATACTATGCAAGTTTAAAAGTGAGAAAGGAGACACGACCACATATACAGGGGAAATTAAAATATAATAGTTTAACTAAAAGTAATTTTAAAATAATCCCTTCAACAACTTGGGGGTTAGGAGTAACTAACCCCCGAACAGCTGAAAACCCACATGTAACTTTTAACTCCCCCCAAACATGAGTTGGTTCCAGGCCCCCCAGACACCAAAGCCACAGTGCTCAAGTCCCCCACATAAAATGCATACAGTCGGCCCTTCGCGCCCATGGACCCTCATCCGCAGATCAAAAACAGTATAGGGGTATTTACTGGAAAAAAATTTGTATGTAAGTGGAGCTACGCAGTCCAGAACCATGTTGTTCAAGGGCCACTGTGTAAGCCTGAAAGAATTATACCACAAGCCACTCTGTGGCAACACATTTGAAAACACAGAGGAAACTAATGGTTTTCTAGCAAAACACAAATTACCCAAACTGATCCATGAATGGAAAATTTAAAAAGACGGATTACCATTGCAAAGGCTAGAATGTGCAACAATCCCTAACTAAAAAAATGAGCCATACACACATGAAAGGCAAAGAGCTACCTTAACCATGACTTTGAAACTCCTTTATCCTCCTATTTAAGAGACCAATTACTATGCAAAAAAACCCCAGGATATGGCCCCTTTCTTCCTCTCCCGCGCATGGTCCTCGCTGCGAGCACCACCAGTCACAGAGCGCACGCCGGTCAACGCAGGCTGGCACCCAGGGCACGGACACAGCCAAGACTCTGGCCGCCCCGGCCAGACTTCCCGCCTTCCGAGCCGGGTCAACCAGCACGTCCCCACGGCAGTAGCCTGTTCGCTACGTCCCACAGGGACACTCTGGGTCTGAGCCACCTGCCAGGAGGTGTGTAAGGCACAGAAGCCTGGAACTGGGATTAGCAAGGACAACACGTACACTGAGCGATTAACTCTGGCAAAACTGACTAGGATGTTATCAGAGGTCACGGGGTTCACGTTCATATTTGAAAACCTATCTTCTGAGCTTCCTCATCCCTTGACATTTCTGACTTTATCACTGTTCAAGAGACCATATTAAAAATACAAAGCCTTTATTCCACAGATATCTTACAGAAATAGGAAATACCAATACATTGTCAAAAAATATGAATGGTTTTTAAAAAACAAATAATAGAAGTCATTAAAAACAGACAAATGTGTGCTGAATTATGTTATTAGGCTTGCCAAAAAACACAAACACTATAGCTAACTGAGAGCACACCAAACCTTTTCCCAAAGAAACCTTCTGAGAATTCTCTGTTAGGATTTTTAAATGTTTTCTGTGTGATAAGAACAGTAGCTCTGGTGGACAGCCACTGAGGGATCCCTGTCTGGGACCCATTTCCCCTCTTCTGATTCCCTCTGGGGAAGCACCCCGCTAAAACCATTTCATTTGTACGGAGCTAACACCACCCCTAACACGTGACTCAGGTTTGACCGATGAGCGTGCTGCCTCCCCTGGCCACAGTTGGTCCAGGGGTGGGCCCGGGAGCCAATCAGGCCAACGACAGCCCTCCAGGGAGGGTGCCCCCAACACTGGAGCTGTGGTCCTTGCTGTGCTCAGCGACAGAACGTGCCTATGGAGCTGCTGGCGCCCACCCTGCTGGTGTGACCGAGGACAGGCCGGCAGCCTGGGCACGGCCAGGCGAGGGACAGGAATCCTGCGCACGGCGCTCCTGGCCCCACGGGGCCTGGCGCCAGTTCGACCCACAGAACTTTTCAGTTGCTAGAACCTACTGATGACCTTTTTTGGGTTTATTCCATTGGGGTTAGATTTCTATGTGGTTCAGACCAATAATGCTCAGAAGCTATATTTATGTTTAATTGAAGACCAAAGACAGTGGACTCCGTGAGCACAACTCCTTTGGACTGCGCTGCAGAGGCTGCCTGGTTTGTGAATAAATGAGTGAGAAACCATAGTTCTGACACCCGAATCCAGCGTCCAAGCCAGGGCCTCCTGGGCAGGACACCTGCCCAACACCACAGCCATATATCCTTTAGCATGTGCTATATACGCACCACTCACAATTCAGAATTTTCAAAGCCAAAAGCTCTTGACATGGTAGCTGATTAACAAACTTGCCATCCAACAGAAACCCAACAAACCCCTCTGTGCCGCCTTACACCTACCTGCCTCACACCTGGTCGGTGTTTCCCAGCTGTGAGAGGTTCCCAGGGGGACCCTCTCTAACGGCAGCATTGCAGCGGGCACCCTCCCTTTAAAAGTGCGCTTGGAGATCACTACACTAACTGGTACGGAGCGCGCCTTCCATTTGGAAATAGTACTGAAATACTAAGGCTTTTAACACTGTGATAAAAATAAAACACCTCACAACAGTCATACAATTTGTCTTAAGTAAAACAGAATATTAACATATGCAATTTTAAAAGTATTGTAGTACAGGGAGAAGACTCAAAACTGGGGTCTTTAAAAAGCGGATGTTAAGGAAGAACGGCACGGGCTCTAACTAGGGAGGAAGGCAGCAGGGAGAGCGATGGAGGGGCAAAAATCGGAAGCGTGAGCTGAACGACCTCGGAAAACGACCTGGCACCTGGAAAAGGAGACGGGCTCATTTGCAGTCACGGTGAGAAACACGCAGGCCTGAGCGGCCAGTCCTGCCATCAGTCTCTGTCCCCTCCCCAGCTGAGCAGAGCAGTTCTTCCTTAGGGGCACCAACCAGCTTCCGGGAGATGCAGGAACGGGCCCACGAACGGCACCCCACCCCCAAGAGGGCAGCAAAGGGAAGCCACACCAGCGTGGAACCTGGTCAAAAGGCGCCTGAGCCTCAGGTCCCAGGTAGAGATGGAGTCACCGGAAGCCAGGAGCCCCGCACATCGCTTTGTGACAAGTGGCTGCCAGTCAGTTCCTGGTCTTCCTCTCTGTGATGGGACAGCATTTCATCATCTTCACAGATTGTTAAAAAAAACTGGTTATCATCGTTTTAAACTGGCAAATGCAGTGTTCTCAAAAACAAAACAAAACGAAA